CACCATTTCAATAGTCAAAACCACTCTGACATTTCATGATGACCATTTAGATTCTTTTACTCTCTGCTCAGATCACGTGTCTAGACTTTGACTATAGTTTGCATGCCCGGATTCTCTCTTTCTGGGCGATCTCAGGGGTCGCAGGGTTGTGTCCTTTGCTTCTGTAATAGAGGCTGCTATTGTGGTAGTGTAACATGAGGACTCTTTCCTCTTTTACTTCGTGGCTCCTAATGAGAGTCCCTTGGTGGCTGTCTTTCCCTTCCTCCCGAGATGCAGTCACGGACCACAGGCTCCCCGTATATCAGGGACAAACCAGTCCACTGTTACTCATATTCTCACCATTGTTACATATATTGCCACTGACCCAGGTCAAACTTTATCTGAGGAGAATACCTGACTGTGAATTGCATCTTCTCTTTTCAAAATGATTTCTCATGTCTAGTCCTTTATAATCCATTATACAAGCTTTTATGTGTCCTACATTTGGCATGCAGAGCAGTCTCCAAAACCTCAAAGAGTGTGTGTGTGCAGACACATAGCCAATGAAACACTCAATTTTACAAACTCAAACACTACTCTGGAATGCCCTCATACTTACTGTAACAACAAAGTTAAGATGTTTTGGAAAGTGTTTCATCAAAAACAGCATAATATGGACATTAGCATTCATACTGCATGAAATGGCAAGCACACAGTCATTGAGAAGTGAAATGCAAGCACCATCATTGCTTTCATGGTACACATAGTATCGGAGATGAAAATATTGAGTATTAGAAACTCCAGAGGTGCATGTAATAACTTTATATATGCACATAAAGTATGACATGAATTTGGATGAGATCAGAAACTCTAAGCACATGCATCACAGTGGAGCCCATAAAATATTAAGGAGAAATGATCTAACACTAGAGTGTAGGAGGGATCCTTTAGTCATGGAAAAAAACAGTGTGTGCATGTTATGGGACAAATTATTGGAAAATATATTGTGCACAAGTAGGTAGAGAGAAGTATGTTAATTCAACTAAACATGAATTTTCAACAGTATACAAGAGTCTTCGTGTATTTTCAGTCTTAGTGATTATGACTTAAAAGAAGCTGGTTTTAATAGTTTCATTATAAAAGTGCTTGATTGAATGTAGAGAAGTACAGGGTTCAATGCGTTTTCATGACTTTTCCATGATCTTAAATTTCATAAAGATTGATCTAGATTTCCATTTGTATGTCAGGAACCATTCTTTGTAGTGTACAAAAGTCCATAAGCAGACAGACTGATGAAATCATGCTGACTTGCGGACCAGTTTTACTTTACTATTTAGGAACTTAATAATTTCCATGATGTTTCCAGAGCTGGAAATCACATGTTTTCCATGATCGTGGGAGACCTGAAGTGAGCTTATCGACAATTAGTTTTCTTAATGTAGGCCAGTGAGCCTCTTGATCTTAAAATGAACTAACTGGAAATATCTGTTCATAAAATCAGGCGTCAGCAGTAAGATCTGCTTCAAAATCACATTTCTGCACAGCATGGCTTTCAGATCCCAAACAGAGTATCTCACTGTCCTTACTGATCAACCTCCCTGCTATAGCTCCTTTTTAAGTGGAGCGGCAAAAAAAGTTTAGTAAACGTCTTAAAGAGGTGTTTTTGACTCCTTAATGGATGGAGAAGGAGGGAGAGTTCCTAAAAAGATGGAAGAGGCTTCAGGCCAGGCAGATTGGAGATGGTTTCCAGAGGGGAATATCTTGATATATATATATATGCATATATATTGGACTCCAGCCAGGGCATGTACAGTAACACTGATGAGACAAATCCATTCTCCTTACTGTGTTAGTTAGTATGCGGCACTGCCATCTTCATGAGCTTAGCTTCTTAACAATTCTCAATGTTTTAAATCACGCCATTGTTTAGTCCAGGTTATTAATTTTAAGTCATCTGGTGATCAGCTGACCCCCCTCCACATGCATCAAAAAGAGGTTTGATGTTGAAATAGCTGACTTCTCGACCAAGACATCCGGCAAAGATCTTCTTCTGTTGTTTGTCACCATATATGTTCTTCTGCATGTAAGCATGCACATGCAGTAGGATCTAAAGTCAGATTTTTTTTCTCCATTTATCATCCTCAAATCGTGCTGGATAACATTATCAGGCTTTACACAAACTTGCGGAGTTCATGTCTATAGAGCTCCATTTCCTGATTTGTGTTCCTGAGTCAACATATTTTATTGATCCTGGAACAACATTCCTGTCTGAGAATTTAATCCTAACCATATCCCTACCCCTACCCCAATACCTAAACCTACCCATAAGTTATCCCCTAATATCAGAGGGAAATGGTAGGTGAATAACACTGATGTAGAAGCACCTAACCCGGATTGTAAGCCTAAACTTGACAGAAAGTGTAAACTTCCCTGATTGGTTGATTGAAATGTTATTCCAGGATCAAAAAAATATGTTGATCCAGGAACATGTTGCACTTGGTGAAATCAGCCACATGATAAAAATTATGTTTTGGTAAATCATAATTATGAGATAAAAAGTTGAAATTTGAGATATGAAGTCATTATTAGATGAAAAGTCGAAATTATGACAAAAATGTGTCATAATTGACTTCATATCTCATAATTTCAACTTTTTTTATGTTATCATTAATGTTACTTATAATCTTATAATTTCAATGTTTTTGTCATGATTTTCACTTCATCTCATAATTTTGACTTTTCATCATAATTATGAATTATCGTAATATCTCATAATTGTTCTTATGCCGTAGAAATTGGCTTAGATGTCAGTTTGACTGCTGCTTTCATTAAAACAAAAGGGGACAACAAATAATAAGAAACTCTAAAATTCTTGTTTAAATTGTCAATAACAATTAAATAAATAAATAATGTATTAAATTAGAGAGATACGAAGTAAAAGCCTTTTCCTCTGTTCTCCAGAGTTTTGGGCCCTTTTGTTTAATTGTTTGCGGATGGTGTTGGCTACACGCCCTCAAGAATAGGACACCCTGAAGGATTAAACATCCATCTTGGTAATGTTTAATGTGCATCTTTCTCAGGTTGATTTCTCTGCTACTCAGCACACGGGGGAGCATTTTAAGACTCCTCACTCCTTCCTGTCTTGACTCAATAGGTTTAGCAGGAAGGTTTTAGAATCCTGTAGGAATTCCACGATGTGCTGGTTCTTCAGAGCATGTTGAAAAGCATATCATGTTTGTGTGTGTGTGTGTGCTTAGAACCTTCTCTTGTTCTTGTTGCATCACTGTCACGGCTCAGTCAACTGTTTGTGTAGCAGCTCACACTTTTCCTTTAATTATCACTCACTTCCAAATGGCACTGATACGTAAAGAAATGCCCAGGACTTCCTTCTGTTTACACAAACAAACCCCACGCTTAGTAAGAAACTCAAACACACAAACACATGCACGCCGATGAACTGACTGGAGTGTGTTCATGTGTATGTGTGCGTGCAAGACAGGAAGAAAGAGTTGGGGAAGAAAACGAATATTATGCAAAAATAGGTTGTAATTCTCCACAACAACTGTTCCTCCTTGTCATTTAGCTTTCTGTGGGTGGCCACAGTTACCAATGCATTCTCCTGTGACGCACATGCTGGAGAGCTGTGAAGCTTTTTTTCCCACTGTCACTGTTTCTGAATTTTAGATTGAACTGATTTTACATTAAACTTGACAGGAGACATTTTTTTAATTCAACTTTTTCACTCTTACAAAACAGAACTGTACTTTTAGCGTGTTTATATACTACCATTCTAAGGTTTGGGGTCAGTGCCATTTTTAAGAAAATAATACTTTTATCCAGCTAGGATGCATTCAATTGGTCAAACGTGAGAGTTAAGACTTTTATGTTGTTACAAACAAAAAAAAACACAAATATTTTCACAACAGTTTTCAAGGTTTTTTTTAAGCTCTAAATCAGTAGGCTATTAGAATGATTTCTGAAGGATCATGTGACACTGAAGACTGGAGCAATTGGCTGCTGAATATTAAGCTTGGTGAACATAACTTCGTCTGTCAAAAATATTTAAAAAAATACTTCCGACCACAAACTTTTGTAAGATAATGTATATATTGAACGGACGCTACTGCAACATGGTCATGTGACAAAAATGTAATATACTACTGTTTAAAACTCGTTTAATATGTAAGAACATAGGATAATGCCTATTGTTTCACATACTATTTTTAAAGAATAGTGTGTAGTATGTAGTAAATGTCCAGTATTCAATAAATAGTAAGCTTGTATTCCATCGCAAACATAGCCAGATTGAGTGCTAATGTCTGGGTTGACGTTTGCTCCTCAGACACTCCTTTGACTTTTGACCTCTGACCTTTCACACGCCTGCTTTTCATTAACACCACCAACCATTTTAATTGATTTTTTTTTTTTTTTGTCTGTTTATTTGAACTGTTCATAACCTGATCATTGTTTTCTCTCATTTTATCAAACACGTTATTAAATGAAATTGTTTTGGTTTACCGCACTGCAAATCACTGGAGTCCAGCAGTGACTCAGTCTTTGCCTCTTTCTCAAAGTGTATATGGATGACATACGCTTTTGAGAGAACCACTCGTTCATATGGTTTAAATTACAGGGTATTATATGCAGACACAGAACAAAACATCTTTTATTATTATTTATGAAATGTTGAATGGTTTAAATGATATATCCAGGTCTGTAATATATTCCATTTGAATGTTTTTTTCATATGTTGGGTTTGTATTGTATAGGCTGATCAAATATGCCAAATTTGGCTCTGTGGGATTGCATTTATGTGATCCAGTGGTGCCTATTGCCCTCTAGTGTTTGGAGTTAGAATTACGGCCTTATAGGAATCCCTTCTGCCAAAATAAATAAATAAAACCTAGTATGCTTTGATGAAAGCCAAAGTAGGGGAGTTTGGACTGGATATTATTTTTTAAAGCCTGCTTAACTAACTGACTATAATTAACATGAACATTTCATTTTTATTTTGTTTTTAGAGAGGATTTTGACGAGGAAGGTTTCTGCCAGCCGTACAGAGGGATTGCGTGTGCTCGCTTCATAGGAAACAGGAGTATCTTTGTAGACTCGCTGCAGATGCAGGGCGAGATTGAGACCCAAATCACAGGTAGTCCTCCAAAGAAACATTCAATCCTTACAAAATTTGCTTTTTCCTGTGTCACAATATGAGGTAAATCTGGCCCTGACTATATTGTACAGTTCAACCGAAACGCGGCTGATTAAATCAGTTTGAAGCCTTAGATAAAACAGCTAGCTCGTGTATACTCTTTAAATTACCCTGTAAATTCCATGCTACGTGAATATAGTATCATTCAATATCATTCAGTACCATCTTATATATGTGCCATGGTATTACATCAGATATCGTCACTATACTACAGCACCGCCCACCTTTCTGTTTTTTTAAGAGAGAGTTTGAGGTTATTTTTTCCATGGCTAAATCTTAGTATCATGCACATGTTAACTGGCCTAAGCCTGGCTTCAGTTTTAAATTTGAATTGTTTTTTTGTTTTCTGTGAGAAAGTTTTCAATTGTATCCATTTAAGAACACATGACATTCACTGTGGTTAGAGTGAGCAGTCAATTTGTTTTTGAATCACACAACTTCTTGCGAAACCGCAACAATTCACTGGAACTTTAGTCTCTTTGTTGTTGGTGTGTAAGATATAATTTCCCTCGAATACACTAGACCAGTACGTAGCTTGTTGGAGTCCACAATGGCTCATTCCTGTTTTCAAATCTGGAGGAAACCACTGTATAAAAGACTTCTGTTTTTTTCCCAGCGGCGTTCACTATGATCGGCACCTCCAATCACCTGTCAGATCGCTGCTCCCAGTTCGCTATTCCCTCCCTGTGCCATTTTGCCTTCCCAACATGTGACCGCAGCTCTGGCATGGACAAACCACGGGATTTATGCAAGGACGAGTGTGAGATTCTGGAGAACGACCTTTGTAAGACTGAGTACATCATCGCTCGCTCTAACCCTCTCATCCTCAAACGTCTCAAACTGCCCAACTGTGATGACCTTGCCGCTTCGGACAGCCTCGATGCTGCCAACTGCATGAGAATAGGCATTCCAATAGCTGAGACCATAATTAAAAGTAAGTATTTTGTATAGTTAAAAAAAGATTTGTCATTTTATAGAAAATGAAATAAATGATCTTCGTTTCTCCTATTTTAGGCCACAAATGTTATAACAACAGTGGTTCAGACTACCGCGGCACAGTCAGCGTGACTAAATCTGGTCGACAGTGTCAACCATGGAACTCCCAGTATCCCCACAGCCACACCTTCCTGGCCATGCGTTACCCAGAGCTCAACGGGGGACATTCCTATTGCCGCAACCCTGGCAACAAGCACGACGCTCCCTGGTGCTTCACCCTAGATGAGAGTGTGCGCATGGAGCTCTGCGACATTCCTCCATGTGGTGAGACGCCCTGCTTATATTGATGTTAATCAGACATGTATTAATGTTAATCAAACAACAAAAGAAAACGAGAGAATCATTCACTGTTCCTCACTGAATAACATTAGTAACTAAATTAAGAAACAATGTATATTTAATTCATACTGTGAAGACTATGCAATGTTTTATTTTATTTTCATTTGATTACTTTATTCAATTTCTGTATAAAGAAAACTTTAACAATAACAACAATGCATTGCACTCCCATTTCAAGTGTGATGAGAATAATAAATGTGACAAAGTAATATGAGCTAAGGTTTTTTACATTTTTTCATGACTAATTATTATATGACTGCCAAAAGTTAAAATATTCTTACGCAAAATTTGGTTAAAATGTAAAATAGCTCTTATATGATAACTCGGTGCCAGCCACTGATCACACTATTTTTACAATAGTTTTACACACTATTTTGAAAATTACTATGCAGTGTATGGTATAGTTAGCGGTATGATAGTATTCCTTTCTGAAAATAGCCATTCTTGGGTAATCTGTGGATGATTTTACTCCAAAACATATTTTTATTGTTGTCAAAACAGAATTTTCATATTAAGTTAATTGTTTTTTAATGTATTACTTGTCCTCAGATTTGCCAAAGCATGGAGGCAGCAGTATGGGGATCCTGTACATCCTGGTACCAAGCGTGGCTATACCGCTGGCCATCGCCCTGCTGTTCTTCTTCATTTGTGTGTGCCGAAACAACCAGAAAGCCTCACGTCCACCGGCACCACGCCAGCCCAAACCCGTCCGTGGCCAGAACGTGGAGATGTCCATGCTCACGGCCTATAAACCAAAGGTGAGATGTTACTGCTAACAGATCAGAACTAACCCTGAAGGTGCATCTACACCGCAGAGTGATCATTTGAAAATTTTCAGCACTAAAAGCTGCAACTTCACTTGCCACCCACAATCCAGGCGCTAAATGCTCGGTAATAAATGTTTAAGTCATTACTGATTGGCCTAATTCCTTCAGTGAATCGGGTGGTAAAACAACACAGACCACACGTGAAAATAAACAACGCTATCAGCGCACCTATTTAGATTTTTATTCTTATACTTTTTGTCTATTGGAATTGTGCGGCATTCCCATAACGTTTGAATTAGTGTGCATTCCTGGGTGATGGGGTGGGGTTAAGGGGGCTGCACGAAACAGAGGCAAAATGGCAGGAGGGATGAGCATATGGAGGCAATCTCTTCCAGACCCGGAGAGGAATCTAAAAATAATCATATTGTTATCATTCCGCTTGGATCATTCAAAGCAGATTCGAATGAGATTTTCGCTTGAAATTATTTTTTCCCTGCTTTTTCGTCTTGGTCACTGATTAAAGTGACATTTTTACAAACGAAGAGATGATGCTAGTCCCATTCAGTTCCAGTATTATTCAGACCTTTTGACACCATGAAGTGCTGTTTGTATCTATAACACATTAAGACCTCTCATCTACAGTCTCAGCTGCAGGCCAAAGTTCAGACTAAGGTCATACAAAGGTCATACACTCACTCAAGTAATATCCAAAACAGGGATGAGACATGTTTAGCCTCAGGCAGAGTTGGCGCTAACACGAAACAGCTGCTTCTTTCAACAAAAAAAGAGACTCCTATCTTTTATTTGGCAGTATTCATGTCTCCTTTAAATGTAGCGGTGTAGCTTTTCTCATTTTTTTTATTTCCTGTTGCATGATCCAGAGTCTTGTCCATACCAATCACACAGCATTGTGCAAGTTACTTAGAGCTATATCACGCATATAGGGGATAAAAGAGTATAGAATCATAGTGACTGTCGTGTAAGTGGTAAGACCGCGTCTGCCAAGCACATAAACGTACATGACAGTCAGAATATTTTAAGAGCAAACAGATTTTATGCATGTCTGTGGTCAATGGCTGAGGTTGTAGCGTCTTGTTTTTCAGCAACATAGCAAAAGATGAAAAAATAAGGCTACCACAGCTACTATGAGTTTAAACTTACAAAAAAGATCAACCTGGCATGTATATGCGATGGCAAATTTGCCACCCCATACTTACCTTTCGTTTTCCTTCTCTTCTCTAGAGTAAAGCCAAAGAGCTTCCTCTGTCTGCAGTGCGCTTCATGGAGGAGTTGGGCGAGAGCTCCTTTGGTAAGATCTACAAAGGTCACCTGTACCTGCCAGGCATGGAACACGCTCAGCTAGTGGCCATAAAAACACTGAAGGACATCTCAAGTGCACAACACTGGGGGGATTTCCAGCAGGAAGCATCTGTCCTGGCAGAACTTCATCATCCCAATGTGGTTTGTCTTCTGGGTGTCGTGACCCAAGAGCAGCCTGTCTGCATGCTCTTCGAGTTCCTGGCCCAAGGGGACCTCCACGAATTCCTCATCATGCGCTCTCCCCATTCAGATGTGGGCTGCAGTAGCGACGAAGACGGTACCGTCAAGTCCAGCCTCGATCATGCGGACTTCCTGCACATGGCCATTCAGGTTGCAGCCGGGATGGAGTACCTCGCCAGCCATTTTTTCGTCCACAAAGACCTTGCGGCAAGAAACATCCTGGTTGGGGAGCAGCTCCACATCAAGATCTCTGATCTAGGCTTGTCGAGAGATATCTACGCCTCTGATTATTTCAGAGTCCAACCCAAAACGCTCCTTCCTATTCGCTGGATGTCAGCGGAGGCCATCGTTTACGGGAAGTACACCACAGACTCTGACATTTGGGCATTCGGTGTGGTTCTGTGGGAGATCTTCAGCTTCGGCCTGCAGCCCTATTACGGTTTCAGCAACCAGGAAGTGATAGAGATGGTGCGGAAAAAGCAGCTGCTGCCCTGCCCGGAGGATTGTCCCCCTCGCATGTATGCTCTGATGACAGAGTGCTGGCAGGAGGGTCCCGCTCGCAGGCCCAGATTTAAAGACATACACAGCCGACTCCGTGCTTGGGAGGGTCTGTCTTCCCACGCCAGCTCCAGCACACCATCTGGAGGCAACGCCACCACCCAGACTACCTCTCTGAGCGCCAGCCCCGTCAGCAACCTCAGCAGCCCGCGCTACGCCGGATACATCTACGGAGCTCCGCAGACCCTCCCGCCGGGACAAATCGCGGGCTTCATGGCAGCGCCGATGCCACAGAACCAGCGTTTTATACCTGTGAACGGATACCCTATCCCACCTGGCTATGCTGCCTTCCCTGCAGCCCATTTCGCCACGTCTCAGGGCCCTCCACAGGTGGTGCAACACTGCCCTCCGCCAAAGAGCCGGTCGCCCAGCAGCGCCAGCGGCTCAACCAGCACGGGTCACGTGACCAGCGTCCCCTCCACAGGCTCCAATCATGACGCCAACACACCCTTGCTTTCTCATTGTGTCACTCTGACGCCCATGACAGCAATGACGGGCGGCACAATGCCAGTTTTTGGACATTTTGCACAGAAGGCCATGCAAATAGACCAAAGTCAGGCAGCACTGCTGGCTGACACTAACAGACTGATGTACAGTGAATCCATCATTACTGCCGATTTGTGAATACATGATGTTTTGTCCTGTATATTGATAATTATTGATATTTTAATGGGGTTTTTTCTTCTTCCTTGTAAATATAAAATAGCCTGAACAAAATGCGAAAGTTTATATTTTAATGTCGTTTTATAAATGTGTCTTAAAGGAAACTTGTATGTTCACATATTCTCTGTGAAGCTTCATGCCACTTTTTTTCGGCTCAATGTGACTAAACGTGGCAGAACAGCCTTAAAATGTCCTTTTTTTTCAACCAGTGATGATGCCCTTTCAAGGTTATTTTCGACAGAGCTGTTGCTTTGTCATCCCGTTTGACTCCTTTTTCATTCGTCGACGACTTGAAAACTTCCCGGAAGACTTCTGAATGCCTTGGTCTCTGTCTCGTCATAGCATTTTGGACATATTGAATGAATATTGCATTGAAATCTAACCCTAAAGAAGAATTAAGGGTATCATTTTGCAAATCACCAATGCCTTAATATGGAAAAAAGATGTTGCTTTAATTATGGCCACCATATGTGCCTTCATTTTATTAGGAATTCAGGCATGTGTACTTGTGGGAGACAATGTGTTCTGTGAGATTCTTCTGTTACTGTGGTGTTATTCAAAGGATTTCAACACACGGGACACATCAGAGCGACGTCCGAAAGCTTAGGCAGCTGACTTGTTGCCTCGTTGCCCTGTAAGCCAATGACTTCTAGGACAACGCTTGTGTTTTGAAGGTGCCTCTTACAGCAAAGATTGAGAACTTAGGTGTTAACCAAGAACATATTATAATGGCACAATACTAATTTCAGTCAAAACTGACTGCTAAAACTTTCTGGTGTAATTTTTTCCTTTTAGTTCAGCTGTCATGAAATCACACGCACAGGATCGTGGGACATCATAAGCAGATGAAGGTTTCAAGACAGGATGTGTCACAATCTTGGATTGGGACATGATTTTTTGCCTTCCTACCTTCGCATGCAGGATTGTTCAGTTTTGGGTGTAGCCCAGATTATTTATATCATTTTTTGGTCATTGAATGCTGCCTGTACGCCCATAATATAGCTGAAATTCAGGCAACCAGAAAACATTCACAAGGTTTCTTTTGTATACTCTATATGTGCCTTACTCAAGAGCATACAAACTGCCAGAATAGCATTTCAATCTCTAAATAAGTCGTAAACTTTTCACATCACTGTTTGGCAAAGCATATGTGAAATCTGTCTTATTAATGATGCAGAACGTTTTCTAACATGAACTCCTCACTACCTATAGAATGTAATGCCTAAAGATTCCTCTAGAGGTCAGTGTCAATCTGCGACTCTGATTGAATGAAGTTCTTTATTTGTCTCACGGTAATACTGTATGTGCCTGCTATTTTTTTAGCTTTCATTTGATGTTTGTTAACTTTCTTCTCTCTCTGAGTTTGTAGCTCGTTTAATCTCTTGACATTTCACGGAAACAGGGATTAAACAGATATGATCATTTTTAGCAAGCTGTATGTCATGTTCAGTCTCAATTTGGTTTGTTGCTATGCAACTGTTTATTTCAAAGACACTCTTTTCCTGTGTTGAAGACAATCAAGAATTAATCTTTTATGCGGGGTACAGTGTTTTGTGAAGACATTATTGCTTGTGACCTATAAAATGCCTTTTGGACAATCACATGATGCGTCATGACATTTCATGAACAGACGTTATGCATGAAAAACTAATTTGTAGATCAATGGTTTATTTTTTATATGATTTGTCACTATTTTTCATCAATATTGCAGTCTTATTATTGTACGTCTGAACATACAGTGTGTTGACATTATAAAAGCCACTTAAAGAAACAGCTTGGTTCAATGTCATTTTTTCCTAGCGTTTTGATATGTTCTCAAATGAGCGGACGTCATTAACATATTTTTCAAAAGTTCTATTAATGTTTGTATTAACTGCATCCAACAATTTATGAAATTCATCAGTGTAATTAATTTTTTTTAATCTATTTATATATTACATTTTGTTCTTGGTGTCATTTTTGTTTTGTACCTGTTTGAGTTTCTTCTTTCTTCTGTTGAACACAATAGAAGATCTTTTGAAGAATGTTGGTATCCAGACAGTTGATGGTAGCCATTGACTTCGATAGTATGAAAAAAAAAAAATACTATGGAAGTCAGTGGGTGCCATCAACTGTCTGGATACCAACATTCTTCAAAAGATCTTCTTTTGTGTTGAACAGAAAAAAGAAATTCATACAGGTTTGGAACAACATGAGGGTGAGTAAATGATGCCAAAATGTTCATTTTGGGGTGAACTGTCAAATACGGGTTATTGCAGAGCTTTCAACATTTGCTACCAGTAGAGGGCAGCGTAGGGTTAGTTTGGTGTCAAACATCAGGATATTCTAGGAAAGTGCGCACTGACTGTAGGATACTTGTCTATTAAAGTATCTGTGTGTGTGTCTGTATTCATGTGAATGTTTTATATTATAGAACTGCACATATTTCAAAGGTACGTCAAAAAAAAATGTCCTTGGCATTGGATAAACAAATCTTTTAAAAAGGCTAACAAGTCCAGCATGTTTGCCAAAAGAAATGACGTGCACATGACTTTATGATTACTCCCATACTCCATCCCAAACAAAGAGAGAGAAAAAAAACCCTGACCTTGAACACAGAGCATTCAGCATTCAGAGGAGACGGGTTTGATGTTGGGAATGTTTTTGATCAGTTCTCTCCGGTTTCTTATCTGGAACAGTCCCAGGAATGGCCATCCAGTCTCTGGCTCTGGAATGCTAATCCACAACACCAAGGCAATGTGTGTCAAAAGTGCATATCATGTGCATGTTTTTTTTTTTTTTTTTTTTTTATAAGTTTGTGAATCTTTTAAAGTATTAACTGATATTTTTCCAGTTATGCACAAATAGCTTATTTCATGGTCAGAATTTATTTGCTTTAATAAGGAAGAACCCCATGGATGAATCAAGATTGGGGAAGCACTTTCTTAGGATGGCACATATTTAAACATACGTTAATATGCATACTTAGATGTATGATTATAATGACTTCTAAAACACTATAGGGATCCATGTGATATGCAAATAGGGCTGTGTATGAAAGACACTGTTATGACTGGATTTGAATCATGAGACACCATAATGGCAGGCAGATGTGGTCCAGGTGTGCGGTTGACGGTGGGCCAGGGGAGGATCTGGGCATGGCGAGAGCAGTGAACCTCAGGATGGGTATCCCAGGTGTGGGTGGAGAAAAAGGATTGTCAAAAAAATGTGTTATTGCTTCCGGTATGGAAATGTAATAATGAAACATAACCTGGGTAAAAAGAAGAGTCTTCTTCGGTCTAAACCTTTTTTTTAACGATTTAATCGTTTTTAAACCTTTTAAAAAAAAATTTTGATTGCATATTAGATGATACAATTGTTAGCCCAAATAGGCCTATGTTATTAGGGTTAACTCTTTTTTAGGCTATACATACATTTTTGAAATCTGAAAAAATGTCTGGAATTCTATAAAGATGTGTCTATATTGTGTTCAAATGTGAAAGTTCTAAACTAAAAACTCTTAGTTAATCATGTTTTGTCAGAAAGTCAAACATTGGGTCAGATTAAGCTAAATGCTATTTATGTATCTTATTCCTCAATTTGCTACACAAGATAGCCTACTGCTGGAATACCAAACTTCACTGAGTGCCTACACACAAGCACACACCAGGTAAAGTTCAAGAACTTTGTCACATCACAACTCCACCCAAATGAAATATAGATGAAGGCCTAAAATTTTGATGAGCCCCCAAACCATAACTTGGCAGTCCTGTCTGTGTGCATTCCAAATAATCCTTTCAGTCTCCTCTCAGATTAGCTTCACTTGTTTTTACAAGAGACAGTGAGAAACAGCAAATCCTTCTGTTATGAGTAAGCATGATTATGAGATTAAGTGAAAACATTAGCACAGTGCTAACAAATGCTACAGATGAAATGTGCTTTGATCATGCTTATGTCTTATGTGTTCCCCCCAATACAATTATACAATGTTGTTTGGACCCCACTGACTCATGTTCTTAGTTTGTGTTCCACAGAAGAAATTAAGTCATACCGATTTTATTTACAATGACAAGTAAAGGATGGATAAGTAAATGATGATAGAATTTTTATTTGTGGGTTTTAAAAAAACTGCCAGTGTAAGACAAAATACACTGCAACAAAGCTTAAAATATTATGTGGTGTGTCTTCTCAAGTAATTGTATCTTGTTGTAAGTTTTTTTTAGATATTTTAACAGGAAAATCAGACAAAAATACTTCATGATAATACTTATTTTCAGCATTTTAGTGAAATCACAGAACAAAATGCACATAGTTGTGTCCCTGCTTATGATGTTTATACAGTGGTAATTTTGTTTTATTTAAATAAAAAAGGTATGTTATTGCTTTGTAAAGCAAAGTAGCCAATAGGAAGAAGCGCTAGATTTGAATTATGTAAATGAAGATCCTCTTTCTTTGAGGAAAGTGCCAGTCTTTTGGTTGGTACAAAGGGATCTCTCTTAAGAGCTGACCTAATTTACATCAATAATTACATCAGCTCTCTATTCCTTCCAAGTCACTGTGGTTAAGCCATGGAAAGTCAACATGTGACAGGTAACCTGAAGACGATCAGTTGCTCTCCACAAATAAGTGCTGTTACTCAAGGGCCTACTTTAGAGGAACGTCATATAGTTGTTTTGAGTTTGTGTCGGGATGTGTGCGAATAGTGAGATGAGCGATGAGATATGGGCTATTATGAAAGAGTGAGTCATAATAATGAAAGCATTCTATATAAACTTGTTCCTATTAGTCAGTCTGGCAGAGTAGGTATCTCTTCACAAATATGAAAGAGCAACAACAGAAAACCAGAGTGTGAGGACAAAGACATTCCTAGCAATTAATTAATCAAATTATTTGTAACATCCACCATACTTATCTTAGTCAGGGTAGACATATTCCATATTAAATGATATGGAAATGAAAACAAGAACTTCAGTGTGTGATCCTCAGTAGTTTTAGTGTATGAAGCATGATCGTGTATGATGATGTTTTTCTCTGTAACCATTTGCAAAGTAGGCAAGCGTATGATACCTAGTATTTTAAAATCCGATCTGACATCTGTCATAATGTGGGTCTTGTGTCATGTTTAGTGGTTCCCTGCCTTGTCTTTAGTTTTCCCAGGTGTTTCCCATTTACCACGCCCCCTTGTTATC